ATATATATATGCTATATTCATATACAATATACAGAGGAACATTTAAAGCTCGAATTAAAAAAAGTTAAACATATACCTATGTTTGCAAAAAGAAAACGATTTTATAAATATATATATATATATAATGGCAAGTAGAAGGTATCAGAAGCAATCGCGGCTTTTTAAATCCAAATGTTATCAACGGAATCAACAGTTGCTGCAAACAGTGAAACAAAAATAAAATGTTATTTTACGGCAGCAGAGCAAATTGGAGGTTATTTTTAAAACAGAAAAAGAAACGTTTATTTTATTTCTTTTTTTATATCTTTAGAAGCCGAGAGAAACCTGCGCAGGATGAAAGCAGCTCGTTTCATTTTATAAACCGAAAGGAAAAAAAATCTTTATTTTTATATTTATTTGATTGAAATGACCTTCATTCTTTTTGTTTTTATTATTGATGTGATTTTTATAAAATGTTTTCTTGTTGGTTTTAGTTTAAAATGTTTTTTTCTGCAGAGATGAAATATTTGGAAACGAAGCGCAAACGGAGAAATGATGAAGATGTTTGCGCGCGTGCCGCGGCCTCCATTATCCCGCACCGCTTAGAGAAATAAATCAGTAATTAACAAATAATAATAAACAGGGTGGATGTTATTTAGTTGCTGTTTTTATTTTCCGCGGGTTCTGCGGTCTTTCCCTCTGTGGCGGGATGGGGGTGTGCGTGACGGACAGGAGGAAGAGGAGGTGATGCGCTCGCGGCTCCTCAGCTGAACGCGGCGGAGCTTCAAAGTCTCCTCTGATCGCCCCACAGTCTGACGGCCCGGGCCCCACGCGCGCCCAGCTCCGCGTCATCACCGTAGTCGCGTGCGCGAGGAGCCCTGATGCGCTGTGAAAGTCGACAGCTCGTGACCTCGCGACCGCAGCCAGATTAAATGATGTCACGCGCAGCCACAAGTGGAGCGGAGATTTATCAGGTTGCCTCCAGTTGAGCAGGAGTTGTGCCAACCTCCTCCTCTTCCTCCTCTCCCTCCTCTTCCTCCTCCTGCGGAGTCCCAGACCTCCGCATCGATGAGGAGGAATTGAGCAGCTCCTCTACTTCCTCCCGGTCCTTCCCGGACGGTAACGATCGGCGGGTCTCGGCTCTCCGCACGCGGCCATCGAGCGAGCAGCGGCCGCCAATAAGCGTGAGAAGAGAGGCGGTGATCAGGAGGGGGCTCCCCGGCAGATGATGCCCTTCGCTGCGGGCCGGTGAGGAGCAGCTCCGACCCCTCGCTCCTTCTCCTTCTTTCCCTCTCCTCTTCATGATGGACGGTTCTCTGTGCCGCGCAGCGGGTGTCCTCGGCGCCCCCCCGGCCACCGGGAGCCATCCGGCGGGCTCAGACTCGCTCTCCTCCGGCGGCGGCAGCTCCAAGCCTCTCGCCTTTTCCATCGACCGGATTATGGCCAGGACGCCCGAGCCCAGGTCGATACCGCTCGGCTCCTGGTTCCAGGCGTCTCCCGCGGGGAAACCCGACGTGTGTCCGTCCTCGCTGCACTGCATGATCCCGCTGGTGCCGCTCGGCTATGAGGCGGGTCACCGGCTCAGCATCGGCGGGCTGGATCCGGGCCACCTGGACTCTCATCTCCAGGCTCCGGTGGACTTTTTGGGCTTCGGGTTGAACTATCGGAGCCAGCAGGAGGACTCGGCGGTGAGTCAAAGCAGCGGCCAGTATAAGCTGTTCAGACCGCGGGTGGTGAACCAGTCCTCCCTCTCCACCGTGGGCACCATGTGCTACCTGAACTGCGCCGGGGACGCGGGGGCCTGCGCCCCGCCGGCCGGCCTGGTCAACCTGCACCCGATGGCCTCCTACCTCCTCACCGCCCGACACAAAGCCCTCCTAGCGGAGAAGAGCAAGCAGCAGGCCGGGGAGCGCTACTCGGTTCCCGGGGCCTTCAAGCAGCTGTCCCCCAGCCAGATCCAGACCTACATGAAGGAGCGGGACCAGATCTACAAAGGCTCCCCGGCAGCAGCGGCAGCAGCAGCGGCCAGGCTCAGCGGCTCCTGCTCCGGATCCAAACCCAAAGTCTTCATCTGCGAGGTCTGCGGAAAGGTGAGCCGGAACCCGCTCCGAAGGTTGCCGGTTTAAATCCAATAAAACTGTTTCTGATGTTTTCCTTCATGGAGCCAGACCGGAAATCCAGAAACATCCCAGAAAAACAAACAAAAAAAGGAAATTAATTTCATTTAATAACGAGATTTAAAAATGCTTCAGTTTTTGCATTTTAATTCACTTCTATATTTGTTTTAATATATTTTTCCGTTCCTCAAAAAACAGAGAAAAACAGATTTTATTTTTTCATCTTTAAATTAATAGGATTGAACTGAATATCTTCAATAACCAGAGAATATTTTAACATTTAAAGTGAATTGTAATAATAACTCTGCGCTGTGATGTTTCTGTGCGTCTCAGGTGTTTAACGCGCATTACAACCTGACCCGCCACATGCCCGTGCACACCGGCGCGCGGCCCTTCATCTGTAAGGTCTGCGGGAAAGGCTTCCGGCAGGCCAGCACGCTGTGCAGACACAAGATCATCCACACTCAGGTGAGGCTCCGCACGGCTGCGGGATTCAGGAGCCGCCTTCCTTCCATCTGCTTCTGTCCGAACCTAAAAATTTCATTTATAAATAAACATTTTGGAGCCAAAACTGAGCCAGAAAGTCCGGACTGACTGGGAGCTGCGCTCAGGAAATATAAAAAAAATTAAATATTTATTTAAGATAGAAAATAAATTGAGAAATAATAGTTTTTTATTTTTAAAATAAGGAGATAAAATGTCATTTTCTGAATTTCCAACCATTTTTGAAGCAAACGTCTGAATTTAAACGATTTTTTTTTTATTACCTCTTTTACTTTATTTTTTATCTTGTTAAAAAACTTGAGCGGAAAATCAGTTGCTGATTCTGGAAAAACAATAAGAGTCATTTTCTCATCATTTTCCCGCCGAGTCTCATTTTTTCTTTAAAGATTAAAACAAAATCCGACATAACCTGCTCCGATTAAAGCTGCTAAAATGTTTTATAAACATTAAAGCTAATAAATCTAAAGAAATGTTATCATTTTAAAATAGCAGTGGAGTTTGTTTTTTTATTTAAATACAGCCTGATAGAGAGAGATTAGTCCATATTCAGGAATGAAATGGCCAGTTAATAAATAATGATATAAAAAAAATAACTTAAATCATTAAATAAAATCAAACTCATTTCATTTCAGAACGAAAACATTAATAATGATTTAATAAGGGTTTGAATAAAGCAGCAAATTCGCCACCTTAAAAAAAAAACATTTCAGTTTTTTCTCCCTTTTTACAAACAGAAGTTAAAGAGTTTTTTATATATATATATATAATTGTTTACTTTAAATAAAGTTTGGACCCAGAAATAGATTGTACAGAGTGACATTAATGATGATGCGGGATTCTGCTGCTTATTTTAACTCCCTGATAATAAAACGAAATGTTGTAGAATTTACTTTCCAACCTTTGCTTTGCATCTTTTAAATGTTTCCTTGAATAAAAATAAGGTGAAAACCACTGAGGATTAAATTATCATCATAGAAAAATCTAAAAGGCTTTTTTTTTTTATGAGGTTTTATTAAATCTGTCAAATTGAAACTAATAGTTCAGAAATAATCAATTAAATCTGTTAAATTATGCAGTGACATCAGTGATTTAATACTAATTCGTTTTTATATTTCTTTTTTTATGTTACAGGAAAAACCTCACAAGTGTAACCAGTGCGGGAAAGCGTTTAACCGGAGCTCCACGCTCAACACGCACACACGGATCCACGCGGGATACAAACCCTTTGTGTGCGAGTTCTGTGGGAAAGGATTCCACCAGAAAGGTGAGGAAAAAACGAGCACAGAGCCTCGATCCTCTGCGGGGCAGCTCTTCTCATGCGGGGCAGCCCTTCCTCTGACCCGCCTCCAGCAGCCCTCTGGGTCAGAGGGAGGAATGCGGTTTTACTCTTCAGTAAATCATCCAGGCTGCAGCGGGTTCCCATAAAACCCCGCAGCTCATCTCCTTCATTTAGTTTTGAATTTAATTTCATTTTTTAACCAACATAAATAAAACAAGTAGAAAAATGATTCAAAGTGAGGATAATTACACTGAGCAGCAGATCAACAGGAAGCATCATTTATAGAATTCAAGGAAAATAAACCAAATATTATTAAAACGCAATAAAGTAGAATATTATCCAAATATTTATTTCATTCAGTTTATTATATATTAGTCATATAAATGACTTTTACAGACGAATGTGTTATTTTATTATGTCTGGAAACAACACCTTTTTCTACTTATTGCTGCTGGAAACATGTTGAAGATATGAATTATATTATATAACAAATATTTTTCATAAAGAAGGACGTGTTTAATGAAAAGTATTTTTTATATTTGCTTGAAGGTTGTTATATTTTAAAAGTAATTTAAATATCACTGGATGCACTTCAGAAGAAATCCAGCGTATTGATATTAATAGAAAATTAAAGTCTCCTTAAGTCTTTCACCGAGAAAAAAACTATATGTATATATATTATATATCTATAATTTTTTTAGATAATTTCTTTTTTTTCAATTGATTACTTCTTTTAGTTTTTCTTTCATAAATAATTTTGTTATTTCCTGTTTGAGACGTATCTATTTTTTGTTTTATTTTATTCAGAGATCAGATTTTCTAACATAGAATCAAATAGAGACCAGCTGATATTTCTCCTTGATTCTCTGCTGATCTCATATCTATCATATTTTCAGAGCTGCTGATCTGGTGACACTTTGTGGACAATATGACAGACTGATGGGACCTTTGCCTTTTATCTTACTATCATAGATCTGGTTTTGATTTGTAGAAAAATGAGCTTAGAGATAAATAATAGAAAAAGCAGCAGCACATGGAGGAAAGAAGGTAGAAAGTCTGGCGAGAGCAGGCCGGAGAAAAACAGGAAAAATGGACCAGATAGGGATTATTGGAGCTGGAAGGCCTCTGCTCCATCACCCTAATGTGTGTAGGTCCTGCAGAGATTCAGGTCACGACTGAGACGTTATCTGCTTTAGCAGTAATAGTTCCTGCATCATGAAGCCTGTTGAGGTGCTAATAAACATAAACAAACAGGACGTTATTTGTTTTTCAGTTTGAAACAGAAAATTGGTTAAAGTTATGCAGCAGGTCAAAGAGCTGCAGCTGATCAGCAGGTCCAGCAATAAATGGCCTAGTCAAAGTCCAGACTGAAACCTGGTTATTACCTCTGATCATGTTTAAACTGGTTTCATTTATTCATGTTTTTTTACTGCAGAGCTTTTATTTAAAGTGTGATTTTTCTGCAGGGAACTACAAGAACCACAAGCTGACCCACAGCGGGGAGAAGCAGTTCAAATGCTCCATCTGCAGCAAGGCGTTCCACCAGGTGTACAACCTCACCTTCCATATGCACACTCACAACGACAAGAAGCCCTTCACCTGCCCCACCTGTGGGAAAGGCTTCTGCAGGAACTTTGACCTGAAGAAGCACATCAGGAAGCTGCATGACCCGGCCGGGGCGCCATCCGCCCTGGAGTCCTGAAATCAGCTGCGGACGCAGAAACCCAGACTTCCTGGTCTGCTGAGGACAGATTCTAGGAACAATGGCCTGCCTTCAGGTCTCTGCACTTTCTCTGCTCCAGTTATTGTTAATCAGCCAAATGAAAAGCTCTAAAGTATTGTAGTGTTTATCTTCCCTGATGTTTTAGCCTGCATATGCTGCCCCCTGCTGTCTGAACTGGGAGTGACTGAATTCTTGGAGCTCACCAAAGGACGCCTCTGACTCTTCACATGGAGACTGGTGTGCATGAATCATTCCCTCACCTTTGTGCTGTTTCCCCCTCCAAATAAAAAGTCACTATTGATAAGTCCTGACTCCTATCATGTTCTGACCCAGAGAGCTCACTGAGGGCAGCTCTGGTTCTCATCCTCGGTTGGACCCCCTCCACCCAGACCGTCACCATGGAAACCCAAAAAAGGCAGCGATGGGGTTTCTGAGCGTGTCCAAGCACAGCAGTGGCCTCCCAGGCCCAATAAGGACTCATCCTGACCTCCCGGTCGGCTGGCCTCTGAACCTCTGCGCTCTCGGGTCCATGAACATTTGGCTGAGAGCATCTTTATAAAACCCCCAAACTGATGCTATTTATTGTGTAATTAGTCCTCAGCGAGTCGTTCAGGCAGATCTCTGAGGTAAACCCAGAACTCCTCTACCTCCTCAGATGTTTCACCCTTTCTCTGGTTCAGAGAGCAGACAGTAAAAATGTTTTTACAGATTCAAATCCTGAGTTTTTGTTTTGTCTTGTGTCTGTGTGTGTGTGTGGGGGGGGGGTGGTTTAGTCTTTAGATTGACTGGAGATCTATCTGTTATCAGATACATTCTTTTAGATTAAGCTCTGGACTTTGACTAGGCTATTCTCTAATATGAGTTGGATTTGTTCAAGCAAATAAAAGCAGCTCGTCATAAAGAAGCACACACGCCTTGCTCAAGGGCAAGGCGGAACCTGGGATCGAACCCAGAAATCCCTGTCTGCGTATTTCAGTGGGTTCTCCTGCTGAAGCTGAAGCTCCGCCTCTAGCCATCGTCTTCATGTCTTGGTTTGGCTCCATCCATCCATGTGACCACCAGCTTCTCTGTCCCTAACCCCACAGCATCATGCTGCTTCCACCATGGTTCAGCAGATGATGTGTTCATTCATGGATGACCACAGCCTTCTGAGAACACCATTAGGTTCCTCCTCCTCCTGTGTCCTCCTCAGTCCAGGTGGACGTCTCTGTCTCGGTAGCATTTCGTTGGAGCCAAAGGTCCAGATGTGAGGCTGGTTCTAGCAGTAAACTCACACAGAGGGGCTGAACGAAGCACCTGTCAGGTTTAAAAAGAACGTCTAAAACCACAAATCATTCTGGTTTCACTTCAGGTTTATACTAAACTGAATATACACAACTTGTATTTAGGTGCAAGTAATTAACAGTGAGTTTAATAAAAGTTAGCTTTATTTCACTGTAAATGAGAGAAATTGGACCAAAACACAGAAAATAAATTTAAATTCAATTTCTATAACTATTCAATAACTTGTTTTTAGGTCACTTTAAAGAGACAATTCAAACGAATCTTACAGTCAGATTGGTTAAGAAGCTGACTTTGCAGGACAGCGTATGAAGGGCCAGAAGATAATACTGCTTGTAGCAACAGTGGAGAGGAAAAACTCCCTTTTAACAGGAAGAAACCTCCAG